AGCCGGGCGTCAACAAGTTCTCGCTGCGCATGTTCAGCAGCCAGATGGCGGTGGAGTGCGAGCAAGAGCGCATGAAGTCCGCGGGGGCCTGGATCATCCACCAGCCCGGGGACTTCAGCTAGCGCGCCGGCCGTTCTCGGGGGGCACCCTCTCCCCCTGTCACAGGACACGGCGGCAGAGCCCGGGGCTGTGCGCTGAGGAGGAGTGGAGGGCAACCCGGCCTTCGAGGAGGAGGAAGGGCGGGCGGGTGGGGATGGGGTTAAGTGGGGATGGGGTTAAGTGGGGCCCGCGAGCCTGAGAGGGGGCGGGGCTCGGCGTCTCCGGGAGCCGCGGGAGCTGTGCAGGGTGAAGGTGGGCATGTAGCCACCGAGGCGTGAGCGGGTCGTGCGCGCCCAGGCACTGGGCAGGGTCCAGGGCCGGGCCGCTGTGAGTGGACTCCTCTCTCCCCGGGCGAGATGAACGTGAGCTGGGCCTCGGGCGCGGGGCTCCGGGGAACGCGGGCCCAATGGTGCAGGAGGCATGCACCGGGTGTGTCCGGGCTGCGTGCGCGGGCGGGGTGAGTGGGGCGCCTCTGGGGCCCTCCTGGCCTGCGCTCAGGGAGTGGGAGACTAAAGCACCGTGGACAGCCCCAGCTGCTCCTTTTCCAATCCAGCTCTCTGCTGTGGCCTGGGAAAGCAGTAGAAAATGGCCCAAGTCCTTGGACCCCGGAGGCCCCCTACCCAGGCCTGCGGAGCAGGGTCTGTGGGAACTTCTGGTTCCCGACTCCTCCCCACCCTCAGTGCTTGAGAACTGCAGACTCTGGGGTCCAGGGCCATGGAACAAAGTCCGGTTCCCAGCGGTACAGTCAGACCCCGCCAGCAGCCTGAACTTGCCAACCCCTGTCTAGCTCAGGAAAGCTCAGATGGGTCGGCTCAGTGGTCCCGTGTTTGACGCAGGACGGTCAGGAGCCATGGGCTTCCTGCTCTTGGCCCAGGCCCAGTGCCATCTGGTCACAGGGCTGCATCTCCCCTCCAGCCCAGTTGCCTCCAGCATGACCGCCCCACCCCCAGCAGGACGCCTATGGGCGGGGAGTGGGTACAGGGCTGAGGCTGGGCACTGAGTCAGTCATCCCTTCCTTGGGCAGTAAGAGGTCTTGGACTTTCTGGTGCTGGGGGCAGCTGTCCCCAGGGTGGGTGGGAGATGCTGTGAGCGGCGAGGGCTCTTCCAAGTGCTGTGACCAAGTGAGGGGCCAGCCAGACAGATGAATCGTCCCTGGGGGCTGAGGGGGGGGCAACATGAGACCCAGTGGCCACATTATTTTATTATTTTTTTAAGATTAACCAATTAATTAATTTGAAAGGCAGCGTTACAGAGATAGAGGTCTTCCATCTGCTGGTTCACTTCCTAGTTGGCAAAAGCTGGGGCTGGATCAGGTTGAAGACAAGAGCTTCTTCCAGGTCTCCATGTGGATGCAGGGACCCAAGCACTTGGGCTACCCTCCACTGCTTTCCCAGGCCATAGCAGGGAGCTGTATCAGAAGTGGAGCAGCTGCGACTCAAACCAGTGCTCATGTGGGACGCTGGCTCTGATTAGCCACATTTTAAAAAGGGACCTAAAAGTTTCCCAGCAAAGTCGCTGAGGCCTCAGGCCCTGCTGTGGTCACCATGTGCCCCCAGACTCTGGGATCCCAGAGAGACAGAGCCACACTGCGGGCGCCCGGCTTAATTCAGAACATTGACTTCTGCCGTGGTGTGGTAGGTGCACGGCAGGGCAGGGGCCCTCTCCAGGCCTGTGGGGAATGGGACAGACCCAGGGACAGGCAGTGGACAGCATGAGTGCCAGGGGCTGCTGGACCCGAGTGGGACCAAAGCAAACACTGAAGTTCATTCTCCTATGGACTTGGACAAGTACCTGTGTGTGCTCATGCATGTGTCTGTGTCTCATGTGTCCCTCTGTGTCTGTGTGTCCGTCTGTGTGGGGTGCTGGCCAGGGTCCTCTCCATGTCCCCTTCACGTTGT